CATGTGCTTTTGGAGACTAAATTACTTAAATTCTCCATGGCTTCTGGAAGGAAGGGTTGTATTCCATTTGGAAGTAGAGGAGAGGGCTAAATATGTCGGTATAGTGTCTCTGCTGACACGATGGACTTACAAGTGTTCATATTGGGTTTTTGAATTCTGCAGGCTTAGTTTTTTTACTTAGCAGCACCCAGAGGACTGCTGACTTACTTTAGAACTTTCCCTGTTAGAAGCAATAGAAACTGCCAGTAAGCTTTGGGAACTGCATTATTTGTCTTCCTGCCGGAGGCTCTTACAAGCGCTGATTTTCCACCAAAGAGGAAGTGATAGGAAACATCCAAGGGGTCAGCTTGAACTTGGTTGGTTATTAGTAGAGCAGAACTAAAATCTTTCTGAAGAAATTAAAGAAAAGGGGATTTCAGTTCACTGTGAAGACTTTATAGTAGTCAAGGCTAGCAAAAAGGGAAGGCTATTTTGTGAGGCAGAGGGTTTTCTCCTTATAGATATTAGAGAGATTAGAATAGCCTTTTTGGGTAGGGATCAATAAACATTTTCTGTTAAGCGTCAGATAGTAAATGTTTTAGGCTTTTTGGGCCATGTGGCCTTTATTGTAACTATTGTGCTCAGCCATTGTAGCACAGAGGCAACCAAAGACAGCGTGTACTCAAATGAGCATGGTTGTTGTAGCCTGACTTAGCAAAATACCACAGGCTGGGTGGCTCCAACAATAGGTACTGATTTATTTTATTTTTTTTCAAAGATTTTATTTATTTGACAGAGAGACAGACAGTGAGGGAGTGGAAGAGGGAGAAGCAGGCTTCCCACTGAGCAGGGAGCCCGATGTGGGGCTTGATCCCAGGACCCTGATCATGAGCTGAGCTGAAGGCAGACACTTAACTGACTGAGCCACCCAGATGCCCCCAGACATTGATTTCTTACAGTTCTGGAAACTGGGAAGGCTCAGATCAAGGTGCTCACTGATGAGTTTGTAGTGAGGACTCTCTTCCTGGCTTGCAGATAGCTGCGTTTCTTGCTGTGTCCTCACATGATTGGGGTGGTGGGGAGAAAGAAAGAAAAACAGAGAGGCAGACAGAAAGAAAGAGATAAAGGGAGGGAGGGAAAAAAGGAGGTAGATCTCTTCCTCTGATAAGACCACAGACCTATCAGATTAGGGCCTCACCCTTATGACCTCACTTAACTTAATTACCTCCTAAAGATTTACCTCCAGATACAATCATACTGGGGAGTTAGGGCTTCCACATAAGAATTTTGGAGAGGTCGGGGGACACAATTCAGTCCATAGCAGCTGTGTTCCAATAAAGTTTTATTTATAAAAAGAGGAGGTAGGTCAGATTTGGCCCAAACACCGGTTGTTTGTCAGCCATGGTCTAGAGGGAATTAAACACTTACCAGAAAGTACACTGGGGGATCTGTCAACATCTAGTTCAAAAGTTTTATGACTCTGTGCTGTTGTGGCTAAAGACTGAGCCAAAAGATATATTTGATGTCTGTCATCACTTGATATCATTAAAATAAATGATCCCCTATATAATTAAATCCCTCCCTGCTGTAAAAATTCTGAGCACCAGTAAGACATGGTTTTGGGGGAAATTATTTGGTTACAATTGGCATAACTTAGAGGTTAAGTGTACAGTCTCTAGTTTCAGACTGTCTTGGTTCATGTCCAAGTTCTGCAACTTACTAGCTGTGTGCCCTTGGGCAATTTACGTAACTCCTCTGTATTTTAGTTTTCTTATCTAAACGGTGATGATAATAAAATTTACCTTATAGAAATGATGTGATGCTTAAATAAGTTAATACATGTTGAGAGCATAAAACAGTGCCTAGCTCACAGCAAGTTCTTGGTAAATGTTATCTATTATTATTTCTTGAAATAAGAGATAGTAAGGGAAGCCAGAAGGAATATGTGATAGGGAGCTAAATGTCATGTAGGTGTCAAAGATTTGGGGATATTTTAGAAAATAAATACCTTTGGATCAGATTGTAGTGTGTGCTTCTGTTTAAAAACAATAAAAACGCTGTAAAGGGAAAATTGAGAGACTTAGTATGTACTTGGTAGGAAGAAAGTATCTTTAACAAACAAGTGTGGTTGTCTTGATATACTTTACTATATCTTAGAAAAACTTGGAGGCTATGGGCGGGTAAACTCCAGAATTGGCTGGATCGGAGCAAGTTAATTCAAGGCTCATTGACTAGTGTTCCTAAGAATGGATCATTTAAGGGGCACCTGGGTGGCTCA